AGCCACTTAGTGTTATCGTGTGTGAACTGACAGTCTCACACCATCAGTGCATAACTCCTGAAAGAAGCAGAAATCAGTTGTCTCCTGGATGAGAGCCAGGTTTCTGACTGGTTTTATTTGTACGTGCCTAATTTCCTCGTTGTTGCTGATGATAATTTTTAGGTTTTTGATAGAAAATACTTTACCTGAACTCCACGAAAAAGCATGTTCCTTAAAGAGCCTGGAATGCCACCTATGGCACAACACGTATTCCAAGGAAAACATTATAGCCACAAAACCTTTTTTTATTTGTCCAGAAGCAGCTGATGCAGCTATTTACCCTCCTCATGATCCAAGGGCATCTGCTGGATTACTGGAAATGAAAGCACAAAAAACTACAGCAGAGAAACAAACTGCCCTTTCAAGTCTTCACACATATTGGCTCCAGAAAAGAGTATGAGGATTCATTTGTCTGCCTATATATCCGTATCATATATGTATATGTGAGTGTTCTATATATATGGGTGTGTTGCATCTATGCATAACAGACATATAGGCATGTTAATATGTATATGTATGTGGGAGAGGGAAGAGGAAAGAACGGAGGAGCTCCACTGTTTGTCCTCTATTAACCAGATCATCTTTCAGACAAGAAAAAATGCTAAGACCAAGCCAAGGCTCCTGCTCAATGAATTAATGCAAAGCCAGAAAATTATGGCATTAACTGCTGTCTGATCATGACCAGAATTTGAACTGCTTAATATGTGTGTATTGCTGTACACTCTATTTCAAAATAAGCTGCATTTATAGTTGTGGGTATTGCTGTGGGGAAGGGGATTGCTTGAAGTCCTGAGCTGTCAAGTTCCTTTTTTTTTTTTTCCCCCCTTAACCATTGATAAGTATCTGGAAGATAAAAACAGCAACCCAAAAATACCTTCATATTTTTTCAATGCAGAAAAATATCGTATGACATCAGAATGTGGTTCACATGGTGAAGAGTAATAAGAAAGAAAGAAACCAGTAAGAAGATGGTAAAATGTCACAATCAATGATTTTAAACGGTTAGAATACAAATTATTAAATCCTAAGAAGAGAGTCCTTTAGTTGGTTGCTTGGAGGCAGCAGTTGGCTCTGGAGGCAGCAGACAGATGATTCCAAACTTTGCATGTCCAGTGGCTGAACCCATATCTGGTCTCCATGCAAGAAGACCCCTTTGCAGGGGTCCTTCTGCAATAATAATTATAGGCATAACAATAATCATCATCATCATCAAGTTGTCTACACTGGGCAGCTGAAGTCTTGTACATCTGACTCTCCCATCACATTTCCCTAAAGCCTGTATCTCCTTCAGCAGCAGCAGATGTGGCATTGACTTTTTTCTGCTCCATGATCCCTAAGTTAACCTTCTACTGAGGTTATGCCTGATGTGTCCTCCCAAAAGTGCCATCCAAAAGGTCTTTCTCCACGCTTGGAGGAGGATGGTTAGATGGCTCAGATATGGATGCAGAATGCTCATATGGCCTAGCTGTGTTATTCCCCATTAGCACAACTTGTTTCATGGAGCCTTCCACATTATGAAACCAGGGAATGGAAGCAATTCATGGTGTGGAAGCAAAGACCTTTTTCCCCTGATGTGCTGACATACCTCTCTTAGAGTCTTCCTGAGCTGTTTTCCAGCTTCTTTGTTCACAGTTAAGCTTCCATCTTCAACACTTGTTGATGAACTTAGCTACTTCCCTTTGATACATCATACCTAACACCCACATCCCCCCTCAGAATTGATCTTCAATAATCTTCAATCTTCAATACACATACTGAAAATATAGTTTGTAATTCTTTTGATATCCTTCACCCAGTCCTTCACCTCATTGCCTGACTGTTTATCTTTGCTATCAGCTGGTTAGTACTGGTGGTATTGTTTGTTAGTCAGCTGCCCAAGTTAACCACTGTTACTTTTAAGGTCTTAAAAAATTTCCAAGTAGGCTGGTCAGAAAATAACCACTCTGTCCCAGGTTGAAAATTAAATGTTCAAATATATTGTCCCAAACAAGGAAGAATGAGATGGAAACTCCATCAGAGAACTTCTGAGGGAGTTGTCATGTTATGCCATCTCACACTCCTTGCTCAGATCCTGTGGTAGCAAATTGTCAGAAAGTGCTTTTGAAAGAAGATTGTGAGGTTACAGCATCGAAGATATGACTTAAGCATTAAACAGACACCTGGAAGGAAACAGAAACATTGGACACCAAAATGACAGCTGCAGATACTGAAATACATAATTCTCAAGCATCAGTGTCCTACCAATGGAAAACAGAAACTGTTCCCTGTCATCCTTTATGAAGAACATCTTTTCTTGTTAGCTAAAACCAACTTTACTTCAGAGCAGTTTCAGTGGAAAAATATTTACCAGTGCTGCAAAAAAAGTGATGATTCTCTCCAAAATGTTTTTAAGAAGGGAGATATGTGTAAACTCAAGTACCAAGTATAATAGAAAGCAACAAACGGCCTGTAAGAGGTCCAGGACTTTTTGTTGACTTTGCAGACATGAAGTGTATACAGCAGGGTCTGGAAAGGATGAAGGAAAGACAGAAAAGAGAGGCACAGATTTGGATGTGTTTTGTTTTTTTTTTTTAATTTCTGGGTCAAACCAAGAGTGTGGAGATCTCAAGGCCAAATTCTTGATTGATATTAAAGCAGCGTAAGCCTCATGTCAAGCTTGAGTAGATCAGAGAGTTGGCCTGACTTCACTTTCCTTTCACTGATATGAAGCAGGACTAACTACCCTGTAGCCAGTTAATAGGTTTTAGAAGAGTGTCAGAGCAGCGCCTGCAGATTTGATAGTGTTTAGGGGATAATGAGTCTTGAAGCAATTTCGGTTCTGGTAGCTATGCAGCATGATGGTAGCCTACGTGTCAAAAGGACAGAAGCAATGGTGCACTAAGAAAGCAATTAACAGCAGGGAATAAAATAAAGTAATCAGAGGATCGACTTAATTCTGTACTCTCCTTTTGTCCATGTTCTGGACAAATTACACTTGCTTTTCCTTTCCAGTGACTGCTGTGTTAATGTACGCAACATCAGCAGCGGTACATGAACTTGTAACATCAGTAGTGGCGTAAGCACTGTTTGCTTTGGCCCAAATTACAGGACATTGAAAAGCAAAGTGAAAAAGAAGGACCATTCTTTTCTTCTAATGCAGTATTAATTGTCCCCCCCCCCAGTATGTTCTAGAGAGTCCCTCTTGCAAAGCCCAGGATTAAATTTCACGTTCATAGTTGTCCTAAACCAAGATACTACCCTTCGACTTTTTTATTTTTTATTCTTACTGGACATATCAAAGCATTTTGATCAGGCCAAGTCACTGAACTGAGGACTGCCAAAGTAAATAGAAAAGTTTAAATTACTGCAGCAAAGGGACGAAAATTTCAGCCAGGACCCGACTTATGGGGATTTCCAAGCTATTCTATAGGGCTCCAGTATATAAATTTTCTAGATTTGACTTACCCATCAGTTTTGATTATCCTGCTGATTTATTGCTGATTACCAAGGTCATCTCCACATTCAAAATGCAATTTATCTTGTCATAAATGTTACTGATGGGGTTTCTCAGAGACTCGGGCCAGCCTCCAGCTCTCAACATTTTGAAGCTGCTGGCGAGGAGCCCACTGGCCCCTGCTGCACCAAGCAAATACCCAGGGGTCCGCTGGGACCCGTGGATGCCAGTGAAAACTTTGCTCTCTCAAGCCACCTCACAGGCTGGTGGCTGAGAGAAATTGGTGGCTGCAGCCCCTGCTATGTACCCTGTAACTCCCTAAAATGAACCCAGGGGTGAAAGCAAAGCCAAATCCATCCTGAGGGATGGCAACGCCTGTCCCATCACACCCCCAGCATCCAAAGTTGTGTGACACAGACTTGCACATTATTCCCTCCTGACTGGTCAAGAGGTTCTGGTTTTACACCAAAACATTCATTAAATTATGTAAAATACTCAAAGTTCAGCTTATTTGTTGCCTCACACTTCAGGCAACGGGCTCTTTATCTGAATGTGTTCATTTCTCGAGCTAATAAATATTTTTAACATAAAGTATTACCTCCTTCGGATTTTTGGAAACCAACCAAAAACTAAACACATCCGTTTCCTATTGTTGGTTTGGAGATATTTTAGGGCCCCATCTTTATTTTTAACCATGACTTTTTTTCCCCTTATCCAATGGTGGAAAAAAATTAGGAGTCAACAAGAAAGCATAGGCAACAGCATACTTCACTTTTCTCTAGGTGGAAACTTGTAAACAAACAAATAAACAAAAACAAAACCCAGGCCAAACCTGGAAAACAAAGCATTTACTTGTTAAAGAAAAAATAAATCTCAAACAGCAAAGGAAAAAGATCACATGAATATTTCAAAATCAAAGTGTTTTCTAAAAAATGTCAAAAATAAAGACTGAAAATCTTGGGGTCAGAAAGGTTTAGAAAAAAAGATGCCCCAAGAATCAGGAAAAAAACCCTGGGTTTGTGAGTGTTTGCTGCCTTCATATGAGCAACCAGAGTTTTGCCAGCACATAGAAGTCTTGGAGACACTTCATCTGGCACAACATCTTCAGTTCATAACTGCACCTGCACTGATTGTAAAGATGGAATTGTGCTCTCCACAAAACCCTGTCACTCTCTGAAGAGTCAAGGTCATTCCCATGGGGCAGAAGAGGGGTGTCTGAACTGGGCAAACCAGGACATTGCCAGCTGCTGTGACAGGGAAAACTCCCATGTGCAATATCAGTCCAAGTCTTACGAGGCACGTTACCAACAAGCTGAACTGCAGGTGGGCATGAAGAGCAAGCACTTGTGAGTAAGTGGTAGTTACTGGCCAGACACTGAGGAACAGTTGTCCTGAAAGAAGAAGAAAATGAAACAGGAGCCATAGCCGCTGATGTCATCCTCAACTCTTGCACTGGGAGTGCAGCAGAACCAGCAAACTTTGATCAAACACTGCCCGCCGCAGTTAAATGAGGGGAGGACTTTGTATCCCTTTCTCACTTCTCAGGAGCAACATTCAGAGAAATGTGAAACACCTACTTGGCTGCAGAGATGGCTCACAACAAGCTTGAAAACCCTCTTAGGAAATGCATGGTAAGGAATGGACAGAATAAGGGTTATTTATTCTGATAATTAGTTGTGTCCCCATTTGCCCAGTTGCAGTCCAATTTGTGGGTTTGGCAAGATTGTTGTAGGGCTGGCTGTTTGTTCTGCCTGACTAAAAGGGATATTCCTGACTTTTAGGAAGAAGATTGCACTTCAAAACTAGTTGAATAGATAATGCTTTAAAAACATTAATTTTTTTCTAATGTGGCATGTGTTTCTTCCTTCCCTGCTTTCTGTTCTTTAAATGCCTGTGGAATAAGACAGAGGAGGTTAGTGGCAAACACTCCCAGCAAAGGGTTAAGGGCAATGGCCCTGCATTTTGCACAAACTCCCACTTTGGAGAGGAGGGACTGATCTCTGAGCCCAGCTTCCTCACCAGGATTACCAATAGCCTCTCAGGACTTTCACCCCCACAAGCGCTAAGGGTTTTGAGACCTTTCCCCATTGCACAAGTCCTGTTTTTGTTTCCTGAAGGAAGGTCCTATTTTGTAGCCCCTGAATGCTTTTGACCCTTGCATGGTATCATGAAATAGTGCATTTTAGGATCACAAGGTACAAAGAATATGAAGGCTGATAGGGAACTGAGATGATAAACTCAAATTTGTTTCATTGGGAAATTAGGATGCAATGCCCCTATCAGTACAAGGCTATACCTCTTCATGCCTCTGTTTAGAGTGTCAAAGAGCAAGAGAGATCAAATGAGTAAGCAAGTGAGAGAGAGATTAACGAAAACAATATACAGGAGCCTAAATTGAAACATCATTTTTCACAGGAAGAAGGCTTTGGCAGGGCTTATGCTGTTTCTGATGTAGTGTCTCCAGTCGGCCCCAGGAAAAGTTGGCTGCAGTTTCTCAGAACCTGCCTTTTGGGACTCAGCGACTGCTTTTCTTCCCACAGATCTGATTAAGCTAATTGCACATTTTCTTTAATTAGAAGAACAGAGGTCATTTATCTGCAAATGGCCTGGAAAAAAATGGATGTTGTTTTAATGTGGCTTCCCCCCTTCCCTTAATTCTTGCTTTTACTAAGGTGTTTGGCGTCTTTTCACTCTGCTGCTTTCAGCTACCCCATTTTGTAAGGGCTAGGTCCGCCAGACCTGGCATCCCGACAAATTCTTAGGGAGCTTATGAGACTGTTTTATGGGATCCAGTCACAGGGATTTATACTGTGAGGAAAACCTAGAGCTGAAGAGATCCTCCTCCAGCTGCAGTCTGAACTGAAGTGTAAGTGAACTGAGACTATATTTTTGCTTTTTTTAAAATCGTCTGCTAAGCCTGTCCTGCTTAACAAAGCACTCAAGTGCCATGTCAGAGAGGGTCTGTAAGATAAAAATGGGGTGATGGGGACCCAGATTAGGGGTGCCCTCCAGGCTGCAGGGACTTTGAGGTGAAATGAGAACTACAGCGGGAATCTTACTACCCCTATTTGACATGGTAAAGACTCCCTGAAACAGGATAAATGACAGCACCTTCAGACTTTTTCAAAGGTCTCATGCCAAAGGTGTATGCTCTCAAACCTGCCTTAAAGACAAGCCTCTATACCCAGATGTTTTGCAGAGTTGGATGTGGCAATCACAGAGCTATGTATGAGCCAGCAGCAGGAGTATGGAAAAAAAAGAAAGTACATTTCAGTGATTCCTCAACTTCTGCGCTGCCAAAATTTCAATCTCAAGAAGGCTGTCAAAAGCAGATCTTCCATCACACTATCCCTATTTGTTCTGTAAACCAAATAAAGAGGACGCACAGGACATTCAAGGGCAAAATGTCCCTCTCATCAAGCAGTGAAAAATGCTCAAAAAAGGCAAGGAATTAATGTGTGGGGGGTGAGATGGGTGAGGAGAAGGGAAGCTGCTAGAAATGTGGTTTAGGGGATTTCCTTGAGCAGTGGACAACTCATCTGGATCTCTGCAATGTCTGGTATGTGCTCCATCTCCTGCAAACTGCAGTGACTTTGAAGACCTGAACAATGGAGAGCAATCAGTACCACTGTATGCCAGCACCACTATGGTACTATACCTGCTGCTGCTGAACACCCTAGAGTACTTATATAGGGTTCAAACCATCACATTATCCTGGGTTCACTGGCTCTCTATCCGACTGAGTTGTCAATATGGCAAGGAACAAGCACAACAAAGACTTTTAATTTTGCCTTGGAAGGTAGCAATGAATATTTTGTTAGTTGTTCCTCTCTCCCTGCCTGGAGATGGTTATTACTGACTTGTTGCCCAGCAAATGATCAAGGTGAAGATCCCACCAGGCTCAGGGATATTAAAAAGGAGAGATGAGGAAGCTGATCTGTATGGTCACAGCAGTGGCAGCACACCCAACTGCCCTCACCTCCCTACTCACTGCCAGGGACCCTCGGGCCTCTGTACAACTGTCACCCTTTTCTCTTTCCAAAGAAGGTGCTGGGATTTTAATACACCAAAGTGGCACCAAACAGCAAAAGAAATGGTCTTTATCATACAGAGTTTGCCACAAAGTAAATACTGACATCTGTCAGCAGTCTCTGACCACTGCTGCATCTGGTGCCTCCCAGTGCAACAGGAACAGCTGTCCCACAGTAAGACGATGTGCTCAGCTGGACCTGGAAAGTCCTGGCCTTGGCCCCTGGGATTAACCCACATGGGTTCGTTCACCCCATGGTGAGGTCTTGCCTGGTGCTGTGTGTATGTGCGGTAAGGGGTTATGGCACAGACATGACCACAGCCTGTGTCTACCCTGTGTAATGTCAGAGGATGTTTCCACATGGATAGAGCATCACCCACCCTCTTTGTGCCATCCACAGACTATCCATAATCTCTGTGCTCCTCGTGCCTCATGTCAGCTGGTAGTCTGGCTGAGATATACCGTGAGCTTGTCTCTACAATTGCATTTTCATATTTATCTGGCCTGGACACCAGAGGCAGGCTACGCACACACATCTGCACCCATCCCTGTTCATAGTGTCCTCTCTCTCCTTTTTCCCTCTCTGTGACCTACCACAGAGACATGCCATATGCTTCTCTGACCAACCATTGCAAAGGTGCTTAGCAAAATTAAATGAAAACCCTTCTTCTCCATGGAAAGGCAGAGTCAGCATCCTGCAGCAGCCGAATTTTCCAGGCAAGGCAAGTTTTTGCAAGCAAGCAGGGAGGTGAAGCTGTGCTGGCATTTGCTCTTCGTGCCTGGTGTGTGCAAAGTCCCTCTGGATGCATCCCGTTGGGAAGGCAGATGTGGCAGAGGAGGCTGGCAGAGGGATCTATGATTAACCTCTTCCCTATGGGCTGGGAAGAGGTTAATAACAGAGCAGGGCAGAAGAGGCCATTGGGCAAAAGATGTTGCTGGCTCACGTCTGGATGTTTTAGTGTAGAGCTGTCATGAAGCCTCGCAGAGCTGAAGAGTCCCTCAGTGGTTCCTATGGCTTTAAAGTGCCCGGGATGATTTAGTGGAGGGGAGGGATTCCTGATCAGAGAAGTGCCTTTTACTTTTTTTTTTTTTTTTCCCCAAACATGTCGCTGATCAAAGCGGTGCCAGGGAGGCTAGGAAGAGCAGGATCCTAATGGATCAGCTGTGTAAAACATGTCAGCAGACAAGCCCCAGTTCCCAATGTGTCTCTCAGGGAACAGCTCACAGATTAGAAAGAAAACACACACACACACACACACACACACACACACACACACACACACACACACACACACACACACACACACACACACACGCAGGCACAAACCCTCCCACTGACCTCGTGTCAAGAAGTTAAGTGTTATTTGGAAGTGATTGCAGTCAGCTTTTTTTTTTCATTATAAAAACCAAAAAGTTGTTTTCCCAAATATCCAACAATAATTCAAGAAATGATGGAAAGATTTATACAAGTTAGACAATGACTTATTTGAGGCAAACTGAAAACATTTGGTAGAAGAGGGCATTGGACTCTATTGTTATCCAAATGAATCAGACCCCCCACTTACAGGCAGCCTTCCCTCCCCACTACCCTTACAGCCATGACATATGTGGATTTGCATGACCCTATCACTGCTTCATTTTGAAAAACTTTTGGCAAGGTGTTGAAAAAAATTTTTTTCAGTAGGCAACCTGTTAAAAAGGCAGGTTTCCTCTCTATTGTTTTAGAGAGGAAATAAAAAAAAAGGGAAGATTATGTTAAAACCAGAGACAGAAAGAAGAACTTTTGAATGAGCGAGGCAGTAAGTAGCGATTAGAGATATATACACATGAAAGGTGGTTTTACATAAATGTTGATAAAAATGGTGTAAGAGTGCCCTGATATTGCTTGCTAATCCGTTGTTTAAAATGGGCTGCAGAGTTTTGCAGGAATTGTACTTGTTGCACAGAAAAATTAGGCTTTAATTCTGTAAGACTTCCCTTTGTAACCTGAGTGGAAAGGACGTGTTGTTAGCTAGGTGGGCAGCGTGAACCAGAAATGCTGACTGCACTCAGAACACCTCTTCTGTTGGTTTGGCCCTTGGCACTAATCTTATCTTTAATTATGGGTCCAGATTGGCCTGAATCCAGTAGGGTTGTGAACAGAGCATGACAGGACAACCTGCATAGGGAGTAAACTTGAGAGGATGGACCGAGTTTCAGATCACCTTCTGCAACACTGGTGTTCTGCTTGTACTCACAGGTCCTCTTTTCTAGTGCATAAGTGATGTGGTGACAATGAAAAGCAAAGTCTCCTCTTCAGTCACTGCAGAAGCATGAAAATAAAAACTCTTCTGCTTCAGGAGGTCATGTCATGCTACACCACAAGGTAGAGATAAGATGGTAAATAGAATAGAATAGAATAGGGAAATGCAACCTTTATCTAGTCCAACTGCCTGACCACTTCAGGGTTGACCAAAAATTAAAGCATATTATTAAGAGAATTATCTTTTCAGAGAGAAAAGCATTGTATAACTGAGAGTCTTTAACTATCACCTTCTCCCTTCCTCCTTTGTGGGAGATTTATCCCACAGACCACACCACAGTTTGCTGCCTTTAGAGATA